GAAGAAAGCGAAAATGAGGAAGAGGTGGACGGTACTGCTAGTAAGATAATATCACTTGGTGCTGCTCTTAATCATTTGGAATCCTTACTAGACTATTTTGAGACCGAAGAGAACAGTTTATTAAGTGACAAGCTAATATTACGTAGGCTTCGTACGGATATCCGTAAAAAGGAAAATGCATCGAAAAAGCAAACAACAATATTAATTTTTTTAAGTGTTAAGTGTTAATATTCGTAAAAAGTGTTGGATGCTGCTGAACACTGCGATTGAAATAACTAATTCATACTTCAGTGTAATGTAAAAAAGTATGAAATAGGCCATGAGATGACATAAAAATGGGGTTGAATAAATTTAAATACAGGTAGGCCTATGGTATTATGAAGGTACAGTATTACAGTACTACTTTTCATCAAATTTGTCTTAACCGAGTTTTCGATTAATCGTGATTTCCATCAGCACCATTATCCCGGATAATCGAGAGTTGAGTGTACTTCATTTTATGTAAGGTCTACGGCCGGCGCATTTGAGTTTCGTAACACCTGTAGTTGACACAGTTGATTCTGCGTAACGTCTGCAGTTGGCACGTTTTATTTTACTTAACGCTCGCGGTTTACACTTTTGATGTTGGTAACGTATGCAGTTGATACATTTGATTCTATGTAACGTCAGTGGTTGACATATTTGAGTCTCTTTAACATCTGTAGTTAACACATTTAGTCTACGAAACGGTGTCGTTGATTCGATTCTACCTAACATCCGTAGCTGGTACATTTGATTTTACCTTATATCTGTAGTTAACATATTTTATTTTCCTAACGTCTGCAGTTGACACATTTGGCTCTGACGTCTGTAACCGATAAGTAAAAAAAAAAATAAATAAAGCTATCCCTGTACCAGGCTGTGAAGGCCCATAGGGTTGTGAGACGTTGAGGGTCCCACACTATCTAGACAATCGGCTCATAGATGGCGGTAAGGTTGTCAGCCTTACGTGCCAGCCGCGCTTTGCTCCCCAGGAAAATTATTTAATTAATTCCTGGTACTCATTGACTGCAGGATGTGAAGTATGTCACATAAATACAAAACATATGCACAGTACAACTGGCGTTTTCACACAAGAAAACTGAACAAAACACATTAGTTACATATGAGACTGTTCAAAAATACATCCACATATATACATCAATACTGTCAACATGTTATTTACACAATTTTTATTGGATAAGTAGAATAAGTGTGTTTAAGTATCATTTCAGTGCTATTTGAAACCAAGCTATTTCATTCGTAAGACTTTTGAGATCATATGGCAGATTACTGAAAATTCTGATCCTAGGACTGCATGACAGGTTAGCAGTTGTTGTATGGAGATAGTACTGCCTTAATGTGATCAGTCTAGAAACTAATTGATCACACCTCACATGTGCAAAAAATTGGATGTGATAAATATCACACTCAATGTATAAAGACTGCATGAGTGGCTCAAATCGCTTGTTAACCCTTTGTCCACCAGATGTGTTTAGGGCGAAAACTCTGGTGACTGCAAGAATTGTACAAAAGATTCTGTACATTGTCTGTAATCGATACACCGTAAAATATCACATGAAAGTATCACATGTCAGCGTAAATAACAGACGAGATATACGCAACTTCTCTTTGTAATTAACATTGGGTTGTTGATTACAATTATCCCTCCATATTTGACATGCACAGAGTTGTGACATCACTACCTTAAACGTATTTCTTATCTACCAAACATAAGAAAAAAGTACACTCCATTCTGTATATAGCAATAAACTGTTCAAGTTTGTGTATACACCACAACCCAATAATGTCTAATTGTGAATACAGCCTGATTAATTTTTGTTACGTGATAAAATCGTCCCACCTGCTGGCTCGGAGTTGCACTGCCATCTTACAAGACTCTTGGTGAAAGCGCGTGAATAACCTTGGGAGGGAGACTGGCTCTCCGCTGAACAAACAGCTTGAAAACTTCACTTTAACTTCTCTTGACACGCATTTCAGAAAATGACCACCATAGGACACACCACCAAGCACATACTAGCAATCACCACGACCACACACTCACACCAATACACACCCGAAAGTTGACACGAGAACTGCACGAGAACTTGCCCGCGCGTTGCGTTCCTGTGTCAGCACGGAAGATATACACCTGTCCAAGCATCAGCTCATGCTTACCGGCAAGCTGTTCCATCTAGCAAACTCACCCAAACAGTGACCGACTGGGCACTACTGGAGAATCCACGCGGGGCCCATGCTAACGAGCGATGATGAGAATTTCCTATGGTTTTTCTGTGAGAACAGGTGAGACTCGTATATGTTACTTCAGAATAAATTACTTCCATTTTAATATTAATTAGTTTATTTATATATGTTTACAAATATTCCCTGACATAAAGGCGAAATTTCAGTACCGTCACCACTAAACTCCAACTTTGAGCTGCACTGTGTGCCAGTTCAACCCAAAATTAACACACAAACCATGGTTGTGCAAAGAATCAAAATAATTGTTCATATAATAGAGAGTGTTACCAATATAAATTTAATTAAACCCAGTTTTAATGCCATAATCCCAATTCTATTTTCGTCTCCTAAGTTCTGCCCCTTCCCTGCAACTTTCCAGAAATTTGCATGAATTTCTTGCTTCAAGTAATAGTGCTTCTGCCACCCTATCTCAGTTCTCAGTGACAAGAACCCATGTTTATTCTCATCTTTGTCTCATTGTGAATCTATTAACAGGCGCGTTTCGCAGCAGTTGGTGATCCCCTGTTATTTTCACCGCCTTCGTCTTCTCCAAGTATAATTAGAATGATCAAGTCAAGGAGGATGAGGTGGGCAGGTCATGTAGCACGAATGGGGGAGATGAGGAATGCGTATAGGATATTGGTGGGAAAGCCAGAAAGAAAGAGGCCACAGGGAAGACCAAGGCGTAGGTGGGTGGACAATATTAGAATGGTTCTTAGAGAGATAGGACTGGACGGTATGGATTGGATGGATCTGGCAGGATAGAGACCAGTGGAGCGCTCTTTTGAACACGGTGATGAACCTTCAGGTTCCATAATAGGCAGGGAAATCCTTCGTCTGCGCAGGATCCCTCAGCACCATTGTTGTTTAAAATCCTTCCTGAAACTTTCAGACAAACTACTGAATTTTTATCAGAATTGGGTAGTATGAATTACCACTCTGCACAGCCCCGAACATTTTTTATACAGTTCTATTTCTGTGGGTCCAGACAAAAGTTGAATTCATGAATGAGATTAACATTTTACGTTAACTACACTACCTGTTGTGTTGTGATTTTTCTTCAGGTGTGGTTTTTGACCATCCTGGCCCCTATCCGCCCGATTAGGACGAAGTTTCCCCGTGGATAAAGCGACCGGGGTGTGAAGCTGATCACTCACCTCCAACTAGTGTCGAGGTCAAGAAAACATGGACCTATACATCCGATCTCCCACACGTCTTCACGGCGTAGTGCTTAATTAGTTAAACACAGGGACAAATTTACCTTTTTTACCCATCGGAAAGAACATCCGTGTTATTCTGAATGACAGCATGACAGAAAAGCTGACTGTGTTGTCGATGGCGATGATATACGATACCTGGACCTGCAGCCTCATATGGTATCCACACTTGTTGCTTTTTGAAACGAACTTTCAACTATGCGCCATGTCAGAGATGAGAAACCAGCTAATTTCATGGAGCTGAGTACTTTTTGAGAGGTCTTCAGTCGCTCAACTACTCAGTAGATTCCTAACCTTTTGTGAAATCCGAAGGTTCATTGTCGTGTTCACAAGAGCCCGCTACTAGTCCCTATCCTGAGCCAAATCAATCAAGTTCATACTACGTCATCCACTTTGTCTAAGATCCATTTTAGCCTACTTTCCTTAGTTAAATAAATAAAAAGTGGGTCATGAGATGCCTTGCTGCCTGTCTGTGTCTGTCTGTGTATTCGTCTATATCTGTCTGTGTATCCATCTATATCTGTCCATCGGTTTGTGCATTCTCTCACAATTACTGTGGCTTATGATGTGACCTTGCTTTCGGTGTGTCAGTGTGTCCCTCCTTAATTTTTTAGTATTCAATGCGGTTCATGTCGTAACAAACGAAAGTAGGCAATTAGTTGTTCCCAGAACTTCTTGTAATATTAGCCTCCAGCCTATATCTAGGTCTTCCTATTGGTCTCTTCCCTTCTGGCATTCCCACTAAAATCCTGTAAGCATTCCCCTTGAAACAAGGATACAATGAAATGCGGCCTAGTCAGACCTCTTGTACACCTCATGGGGTGACGACAGATGAATATGAAGCAGTGGTGAAATAATGAAAGGAAGGAAAGCCGAAGACTCCCGAAGAAGAACCTGCTCCAGTACCATTGCTTTTACCATTGATCTCATATGGCGTCATCCGGGATTGAAACAAGACCCGGTGGTGAGAAACCAGCGGCTGACCGCCTGAGCATAAGACTGATCGTCATTTACTGCAAGGGTGTTTCTTCTTTTATTTGGCGACGCTTTATTATTATTATTTATAGACTGGTTTCTCGGTTTATATGTATTTAAATTATATATTTCTAGTTAATTATGTTTCTGTCGAAAACACACCATGACTATTGTAGCAAGTATGTATACTTGCTACAATAGTCATGGTGCGAGTCAGATGACCACCTACCTTCCGTTCTTTCTTGTGATTCCCGCAAATCATTTTGAGCACGGCTAATTTTACCATTCAAAGCTAACCGCGAACTAATTCCAGGAATGCAAACTTAACCATACACATATATATCCTACAATTGGTCTTGTTCGGAAAATTAAGGTGAGTTATTTCCACACAAAGTTATAGTTTTGTTATTTTTACAACGTAAATCATGTTTATTTTGAATGTTTTCTTAATAATAAATATCTACTGTAAGTCATTGTCAGCAAGTTTCGCTACTAAGTTATGTATAATGTTTGCAATGGAAGTAATGATCACAGATAGCAGTGTTGACGACGTATAGGAGTACGAAGGTTACGTAAATAATGAATAATATTAAGAGTTTGGAGTTTACATGTGTGAATGTTGTTTCATAGCTAAATGAAGTTGGCGATTTATATAATAAAAATGATTTAGGTTCTAAGTAACAAATTTACAGCTTTGAAATTGGTGTAATGGTCCGAATATGGTCGATCTCTGATAGTAGATGACAGTAGGTTAACCTTAAAACCCAAACATACATTACTTTATTGGCACAAAGTGGTGCTTATTTTATATACTATGGCGTGCTTTCTTATTAATAGACATGATACAGAAATTGCAATTCCAAATGCGGAAAAGAATGACAACTTCATTGTTTACATGATTGTGGTGAGAGTGGGCAGTATATCATGGACAGTACATCATCGGTATAATGATTTTGTTGAACTTCACGAGAAGCTTGTTTCAGATCATGGGGTAGCAAAGGATATTTTACCACCAAAGAAAATGATTGGTAATCGAGAGCCAGCTTTCATTGAGAAAAGAAGAGGAGACCTTGAAGTGTATCTAAAATCAGTTGTCAGTTTCCTTCAACGTGCAATGCCGAGAGAATTGGCATTATTTCTGGACTTCCATCTTTATGATATTCTGTTTCTACTGCAAAACCTGGCCATGCATTTTTTTGTGGATGGGGATGCCTTATTACAGATGTCCAAGAGTTCCACATTCTCTCCATTTCAGGTACATTATATTTTTATTTTGTCACCACCATTTAGAGTTAGAGCAAGGGTACAGTATTTCTAATTAAAACATGGTTTATAGCATGTTCAGCATGTATGTTTTTATTTTTGTAATTTAGATGGTCTGTCCTTAATGTAACTATTAAAATTTGCCACATAATACAGGTTTTGCTCCTTTATCTGTAATTATATGTATGATCTGAGACAATTTGGTCACCAGAGTGGCTGTCTATGAACTAGATAACCCAGGTTCAGTTTCTGGCAGAAGTTGCCATGGTCAGAACAGACGCATGTCCAGGTATGGTATCGTTAGGTATGGTTGAGGGAGAAATCTCTGTTATCTGGAATAAAGCAGCCAGAGCATGAAGGAAACCACTTACTTCCATCAGAAGATATCTAGAATGCATGAAGTTTTACCACCAGGCCTCTTATATATCATTTTGCAGTATTTGGAAGTAAATACCTTACACTTTACATATGAAGATATATTAATTATATGGCTCTACTCAGAGAGTGTGCGCTCAGTAAAAGTCAGTCCTATAAATAACCTGTGTGTGTGTTTATATATATTGAAGGCGGGGCACTGTCAAGAATGGTAAAGTTGCCCTTGTGCTGAATTAAGCACTGCTATGAAGCTGTATGCAGCACTGGAGGGCATTCTTAATGTTGGCACTAGATAGAAATGAATGTCAGTCTTTATGTTGCCTCTACCAGGGAAACAATTGTATCTGTCTTTGCCCCAGATACTGTGAATAATGTTGATGAGGTGATATGGTACAGCACTGGTACCAGTACATGAGGGGACACATATACAGTTGATTCCTGGTAGGGGCTGACAGATTACAGGTAATGTAAAAGGTAAAATTGTCCCTGTGCTTAATTAATTAACCATTACACCATCAAGACATAAGAGGGAGTAGGGTTATAGCTCCACCATTCTTGACCTCAGCTCTAGACAGAAGGGAGTGGTTAGCTTCACACCCTGGCTGCTTTACCTCTCAGTACCCATTGGATAGGAGGCTGGGTGGGCCCCACAGCCAGACTGGACACTGTGGAGAAGAGAACACTCTTGCCCCTACTGGGAATTGAACTGTGTCTGCCCAGCCCATATCCCATCACAATACCAACTTATGTAGATATAACCAAGGTGCATGAAGCAATATTGTGGATGTACAGTACTTCTGGTAAGCCATATATACCTTCTGGACAAATCCAAGATGTTCCTCCACTTAATGGCCACATTTCAGAAGTGCCTTCTGCAGGTCATCTGAACCAAGATATGTCCTATAAACAACAGCTCAGTTCATTGGCATAATTAAGTGATAATGTAGCACAAAATGCAAGCACCACTACAACACATTTATTTTCAGTCGATATTTATATTCCACAGGTAGTTAATTTTTATTGTGCAAAAGCTTGTAAGAGTGCATACAAGCAGCTGTTGCTGCTACTGCAATAAGAAATTAAAAGGAAATGCATACAGAATTGGACGCTTAATGAAGTGACCCCAAAGTGGTATGGGGAAAATCTGATTGCTTATTCAGTGCTACACCACAGTAACGCTTCACTCATTAATAGTGATAAATCAAACTACTGTGCATACGAAATCTGTAGCTTCAGTGCTTCAGATGGATTCTAAAATACTCTTGAAGCATGGCCATTATGTATAAGCTTTATAAATTAGAAGTTTAAGTTTCAACTACAAATGATATAAGAACAATGATGTGGGATGTGGTGCTGTGTAGTCTGGAAGAAGTCCACTGACATTTCACAGGAACATATTGCTTCCATCTTCAGGGTGAAGAATAAACCAAGCAAGAAAGCAGGAGGCAGTATGTTCCTCCAAAATGTCAGTGGACCTGCCTAAACTATGTTACATCCCAGAAGGTAGTCACCTCTTTGAGAACCTCAAATCTAACGATATGTGAATGATTTATGAATTGGTGGAAGTATATTTTTGCTGTCTACATAGTGCATAGAAATTAATTTTGTATTCCTACTGACTTTTCTCACTTCCAGCTACATGCCATCAGTGAAAGGTTGAAGCAACCGTGCCCTCCTATCGAAACTGTGGATAACAGATATGATTTTAGTCATGTACTGGACTTCTGTTGTCAACTCACAGATGTTACAGTTAAAGGCAGTAATGAACCTGTCGGTACCAGTAATATTATACCAAACAATCTTCTATTTGAAATGTCTGCTTTTAAGACAGTAGAGAGATTAAATCTAATTGGTTTTCCAGTTTCCAACATTTTCAGTATTGGTATCCTGCGCAATACTGTTAGCTATCTGAATGTTCAGTATGCTGAACTCAAAGCAATCACACAAGTTCTCTTATGTGATGACTTGCACAAAAATGTGATCTATACAGGTGAATCTCACTCATGGAAGAAGATTGTTGAAGCAAATTTTAGTCACAATGAAATTGAAACTATTGATGAAGGTGTGAAACTGATGCCAAATATTGAACAATTAACTCTCAGTGACAATAAAATAGGTGCCTTGAGTAATTTGACATCATTGCCCCATCTGTCACATCTTAGTCTTTCAGCCAATTGCTTTAGTGAAGCAAATGATTTTCATATGAAGCTTGGAAATATTCGTTACATTGACCTTTCTCTAAATGGTATTAGTTCCTTGCAAGGATTTTCCAAACTGTACTCCCTGGAGGGTCTTGATCTCACTTCAAACCGCATATCTGAATTGTCGGAAATAAAGCATATAAGTGGCTTGCCTTGCCTGGAGAATCTGACCCTGACAGGTAATCCAGTCGCTGTAGTTGTTGATTACAGAGTCCGAGCCCTGGAACAGTTTGGAGGAAGGGCAGCTGAAATTTGTCTAGATAATGAAAAACCCTCACAGAAAGAGTTAGATACTGTTGCAGTTCTCCAGGCAATAAGAATCGTGAAAGAAGGCAGAACACCTACTTTCAGTCCTGAAGCCCCCACTTTTCCATAATCTCTAATCTTTATACAGAATTCTTGGTACCAGACGTGTAATATATAATGGCATGTTTTAAATGCTGTGGTTAAAACTATGTTATGAACTTCATTTGTTTCATTATAGTTATAATCTTGTTATCTTTAAATATATAAATGTTAAATATTGTTGAATGGCACCATGGTTTTTACATTTGATTTGAATCAAAAGCATATACTAGTTTTGTATACAATATATATAAAGTCAGGTAAGGGCATACATTATCTACTATGAATGGTCAGTAAAGTAACATATACTGAAGTAAGCTGATAGGAAGTAGGTACAAAACTAAAGACCAAGTTCTAAAAATCTTTGTTAGATGAGTCTGTATGTCCAGTTTTAATATATGATAACATATTATTTTTCCAGGTCTTAATTATCCTGTCTAATTTGTTTGCCTTCATATCCTGCTTCTTTGAGAAGTCAGTCATCTTTAAGTGTCAGGATTAATAGTGCTCTAAATACGACTTATTCATATTATGGCAAGGACTACAAACGAATCCTTGATAATATGAATGTGAAATAAAATTTGTCAAGCTTTTTTCATCCCTTGGAAACTTCATTTGCCAAAATTTATACATATATTTCATATATAACTTGCTTTTCTTAATTTTTTATTTCTGTGTGTTCTGAATAGTTATAAGTTTGACTGTTATACTGTCTGAATGTGACGGTACAGAACAAATACCAATACTCAGAATAAGTTTTATGAAGAAAGTATTTCAGGTTCTGGGGAACAAATGAGAAAGATATTTGTAAGGCATAATTTAGCCTTCTCTGTGACTGATGGTGGAGTGTAAAGATGTAAGAACTGTTGTCAGTGAAATTAATTTTTAAAAATGTTTGAAATATACAGTTAATTTATTCTTGTAATTTGTTAATGTATTTAACGATGGGATAACTGAAAATGTTACTGGAACCAGACGAGAAATGACACAATGATAGCAATACTGGATTGAAAAAGAACACGGTAGAAGCTAAGTCTGAACATTTCTTATGATGGTGACGTTAAATGTGAATGTTACTGTGGTTATAATGAAAGTGCTTTCAATAACTCTGCACTTTTATTTAGGAGACACCATTTTGAAACTTGGTTATCCTGACTCATGATTTTCATAGTTTCCTCAGCTTTTCTGGGTGAATGTCCAGTTAGTATTTTGAAATATATCGTGACTGTCTCCTCCTGAATTACTTGCTCACCATTCATGATCATCCTGTTGCATTCCACTCTAAACTGTACAGTAGAAACAGCATCAATAAATAACCAAAGATTCACCAAATCAAGATGTAGTTAGGATTGCAGAATATGTACATACAAGGAAAAAAAATCTATCAATAAATAGCAAGTAATCACTCTGAAACAGATACAGCCTTTAGCTTTGATTTAAATGTCAGTTCACTAGATTTTGTATGACAGAGTCGACATGTTCAAGCCCATATCTTATCATTTGCTGCCCCAGTTGTTACTGGTCTCCCATAATATCTCATTAATAACATGCCTGATTATAATCTGCTGTTATAACTGGATGACATAAATAAAGACAAAAGGAAACAAAGAGGTGACATCCATATTGTCTGACATACAGTGCCAGCACATTTTAAAGCTACATACTTAGAAAGCTACGTGGAAACAAGTGACTGAATCCTCTCAAAAACTACGCTTTATCAAATCAGTCTTAGCCTGTATCCTCCGTACATTGTCCAGAAGTAGTAGCCAAAAAGCACAACTCTTTCTAATAAATATAAGCAGTGATTACAAGAAAAATATGAAAGGCCCTAGAGAGCTAACAACTTCAGCTAGAAATGTGGGGTTTGCTGCTACACCTTCAGAAAAACGAAGCCCTTGTCTCAGTGCACATGGTATTTGATTCTGAAATTCACAGTGGCACACTTAAATTTGGCAACACAGCACATCTCTTACTGGCCAGTATGGTATCAGTGGACATGCCTCAAATGTCAAGAGATATGAATCCAGTTATAGTTTGGTGTGCCTGTGCTAATACAAGGATATTAAACAGTAATATTAAGTCATTTTCTGAGCCACTTCAGTCCAATTTACACACCACATTAGATATAATTTACCATTATTGTTCTTTCTTTGTCTCCTTCCAAATGGTCACTTTTTTGCCTCCCTTTGCAAGCTGTATGGTCATCCCAGCATGGCCTCTTGCATTTAACTATCCCAACATTTCTAGGCCAGTATGTAATGCATCAAAGTAAGAACAGAAGTCCAAAGAAATCCAACTTTATGTTACAGTTCTCATTATGTAACATTTTATTGAATTCTTCCTGTCAGCAATGCCAACATGGTGGCTACACAAAAAACTTTGGTTTGGGAGCAGAGAGAATTGCAAAATGTTGTGTATCTGAAAGAAAATACTAGGTGGTTCAAATATGACTGGGACTGATTTTTTTGTAAACAAGCCGCACTGCACAGCAGCTTGCAACCTTGAGAAAGAAGCCACAACCTCCACCCTCCCTCCTGTTAGGGTTAGAACCTGTTCAGTCCTCTCTGGAAGTTGCTCTGGAAGGTACCGCGGAGTGTGGAACAACGCATTGTGATCAAATTCCTCGGAGTAAACGTCCCGTCTGCTGAAATTCACCACAGACTCCAACAACAGTATGGGGAAGAGTGTCTCTCATGGACCTGTGTGTTTGAGTCGTGTAAGTGCTTCAGAGAGGGCAGAGAGCGTGTGGAGAATGAACCGCATGATCGTCGGCCGCGAACATCCGTCACCATCGTGCAGACGCACTTATTCATGAGAATAGGCGCATCACTATCAAGGAACTTGGAGCAATGCTGTCCATCAGTGTTGGTAGTGTAGAAGACATCATGAAATACCACCTGCATTATCGCAAGGTGAATGCATGGTGGGTACCACGCACTTTGACAGACGTGAACAAAATGGTGTGCATGCAAGTTGCCAGTCGTCTCCTACAGCAGTTTGAAGATGAAGGTGATGCATTTTTGAAGTCTATAGTGACCATTGATGAAACGTGGGTGCACTACTTCATTCCCGAGTCCCAGTAATCATCACGTGAGTGGCGGCATACCAGTTCTCCCAAACCCAAGAGAGCGTGGAGGAGCCATTTGGCAGGAAAAGTGATGGCACCGTTCTTCTGGGACTGGCAGGGGGTTATCCATGTAGACTTTCTGACTGATGCCAGAACAGTCACTGCAGCTTATTACTCAGACCTCCTGGCAACAGACATGAAGGAAAAGATCTGATCCAAGTGGAAGAGAGGTGGAAAGCGGGTAGCCTTCCTTCAAGACAATGCACGCCCCCATACAGCCAAAACAACAATGGAAACCCTCCGGAAATTGAAATGGAACCTTCTGACACATCCGCGGTACAGTCCCGATTGGCACCAAGTGATTTCTACCTGTTCGGAAGGCTCAAATCAGACTTGCAAGGCATGCAGTTTGTGGACAACGCCGCCGTCATCCAGAATGTTCGGAAGTGGATACGCCGCCAACCACAAGACTTTTTTGAAAAGGGCATCAGGATGCTTCCAGAACGTTGGAAAAAATGTGTTGACTCCATAGGGGAGTACGTTGAAGACTGACATGTGCAAGTAAGTGTTTGGCAATTTTGGTTTAAAAAAAAATCAGTCCCGGTCATATTTGAACCACCTTGTATGTTTGTGACAAATGAGAAACCAATATAATACGTACAGATTGCACAGAATAAGGGTTCATATTTTTGTTTTCATCATTTTAGCACATTAATAGCAGAAAACTACAGTAGCAAGCAGAAGTGGTGCTACAGAATATTGTCAAGCTCTTCTTATTGGAGATGTTCAAATGTCACCCATGCCAAACAGTGGAAAAGCAACGTGGTGACATTCTGGGACAATGTATGTGCTTTTTAATCACTAATTAACTCCATGCTGCAGACCCCTCCTTGAGAAGCTGGTAGTCACTCAGCTAGTCAATTCCTTCTCAGTTACATTGGAGTAAATAACTGGCCAGTGATTAATACATGATAAATCCAGTAATTTGAGAAAATAATTCACTGTAGTTCAGGTAAGAGCAAGGTAGCCAAGATGAACTGTATTTTAATAAAATTTTAATTTTGCTGGATCTGGGGTCCTCACAGTGGTGACTATGAAGGGAAGTGCCGCTGTGTAGATCATTTTTACTGGGCTGTATGACGTCATATCCCAGAAGACAGTAATCAGCATGTACTGATTTGTCTGCAGATAGTTTTAAAAATTTTTGTTATATTTATATTAAATTTAACTAATGTTCTAAAAATTAAGAAGAGAAACTACACTGGAGGTAATTATGATTTTGGATGCTCATGTAAGATTGAGAATGTCAGATGTGAATTGGCAAATTTGATACATATATACATTTCACAAGTCCAAAATACAACAGACATGAAATTGGTCACAAGCATAACACAAACAAACATATTTGTCAGATAACACAGGACCAAGAACTTTAGTGGCATTATCCAGATACTAACATCATCCTATGTACTTTTATAACTTTTTCCAATCAGTTAGTAATAAAGATTATTTAAACTTATTTGTGAGATAAAAATGGCTGTAAAGTTTGGCCTGTCCACTGAAAATATGGCTGTTACAAGAACTAAGGAGCTGAATTTGTATCAAGACAGAAAGGAATGAATTTTAATGTAATATTTTATTTTAATGTATTAAATAAATTATATTTTTTTAACAGTAAGCTAGTGTCTTTTATTTTGAAGGCAATGTGACCATGAAACTTTACTGTGGGAAAAATTGCATTAATTGTATTGACTAGAGTATCAAATATCAAGTCAAGGAGGATGAGGTGGGCAGGTCATGTAGCACGAATGGAGGCGGCGAGGAATGCGTATAGGATATCGGTGGTAAAGCCAGAAGGAAAGAGACTACAGGGAAGACCAAGGTGTAGGTGGGTGGACAATATTAGAATGGATCTTAGAGAGACAGGATGGGATGGTATGGATTGGACTGATCTGGCTCAGGATAGGGACCAGTGGAGGGCTCTTGTGAACATGGTAATGAACCTTTGGGTTCCATAAAATACTGGGAAATTCTTGAGTAGCTGCAGAATTGGCAGCTCCTCCAGAAGGGCTCAGCTCCATGAGTAAGTAAGAGTATCAAATCACATTATGATTTCCAGATGTTCCAGTTCAAATAATAGGACTAGCAAGAACTATAAATTATTAAATTTATAATTTAGTAATAAATGTCTGTATAATTTCCACTAGAACAAATTTCATCTACATTAAATTTGTCATATATGATTTATTAAGTTTTGTACTACTGACATGTTTTAAATATTTAGTTATATTCAGCCAGTTGTCATCTTCTGTGCTGTGACACCATGTAGTCTTGTAGACAAATACCGATAATTTGGAGGAATATGCTGCCTCTGTCTTCAGGGTTAAAGCGTGTAGTGTAAGGAAATAGAACAAGATCCAGGCCAACAGGAAAGGTAGGTACAAAAACAGCCCGTAGTGTGTCATTTTCTCATGCTGTACTGCTTTCAATAATGACACAGCCAATTCTGGGGATTTAGTTTCTCTTACTGTGAGTTTTTAAACAGGATTTACAGCACATATGGATACATTCTTTTGTTTTTGCTGGATATGAGATTTTATTACAAAATGGTTTTCTACTTTCAAGGAATGAGATAACAGAAATCAATGATACTGAATTTTATAAATATAATATCCTATTTGCAACAGTATTTACATCTATTCAACAATAATTTTGAACTGTACACTATTTTACTTAAGCCATAAATGCAACTGAAATTTATTCTTTAAGGTAATATAATTTAACAGGGAATGATGATGCTTGCACCACTTAAAATATAACTTTAGGACTCATAATCAATAGTCACAGATAAAGTAATATCAAATGACATCTTGAGCACCTTAATAAAAGGGAGAAGAAAACTGCTTCACTAGGAAGGCCTTCATGTATTGGACTGGAACTGCATTTTGTACTACCCACTGCAGGTCTTTAACAAAGGTGGAGCTACATTTCACACATGGAAAACTCACATGCTATTAGAAAGACCCATTTTCTGTCAGCCAAACCAGTGAACATATCAACAGAAGTAACGCAACTAGAACCCAATCTTCTCTCTTAAACCTCGTTGTCCACCTAGAAGCATTACTGATGGATCTTCCAACATTTCTCGAACAACATCTAAGAATTCTGATGCCACCTCTTCATCTATTGCTCGGCCATCATACGACAATGTGATCTTCATTTTTGTGACAGGGTTTCTATCATCATCTACAAACAAGACAGTAAGATATCAGAGCAGAGCCTTGTGGAAAATTCAGCATAGTGCACTGCCTAATCTGAAGTCAGGAATATGTTTTAAATATAAAGAATTTACAATTCGTGTCCACTAATTTCTATAGCATGCACCTTTAGTTCTGAACTTTGTCACTTGCCCTTCCAATATGTCAGCAAACATTGCAGCTGCCATCTTCAGATTAAATGTCATGGATAATGTTCCTGACCAGATGCCGGCTTTGGGTTGATGACTGGACTTATTCAATGCTCATAACTCGTAACTACAAATGATTATAACAGTCACTGATTTACACTCCACAGGTGTAACAACTACAGCTCACATAAAGTCTTCTGTTTGTTCACTAGTCTTTGCTAAGTAACAGCTGCTAACAATACAATTCAAGACTGTTAACCATTGACTCTAACCTCTGGCTCCCAACTGTCAATTTTTGATTCACAACTCATGACTGACTAACTGGTATGGTCTGGTAAATTGCTGCTGGCTGTCGCCATCATAGTCAATCTTGGTTGCGAGTCCTGTGGGACTCATGACCATATTTTACTGTCTGATGGCTACGAGAGTCTTCAATCTCTGGTTGTATGATTCTCGTTGGTCCTTGTTATATAACCTCGGCACAAACTACATAGAAGACACAGCATCCAACAGTTCCATTACTGTTGTGTGTTTATTTGTTGCTGTGGACACGTGTTTACGCACCTTTGCCTAGCAATGGCTGCATCTATTTGTTCCACTGTTCTGGCTTTTAGCTGTCATGTTACAATGTAAACAACAGTATATGTGAAGGAGACATTAAGTGACTGGATACTGTGCTGTCTGCATACTAATCAATGGGCAGGGTCCTGAAGTTTGGAATGAAGAGAAAAATAAATCGGGTGACTCCAAACTTTATGAAAGGCAGTTATACACTGATATAATTCAGGTAACTGGTTTTCCTTTCTCTTCATATCGAATACCCAGACCAATGGCTAGCATATAGGACAGTGGTTCTGAACTATGCATGCATGAACCACCAGAGGTATATTAAACAGCATAAGGAGTATGTTTAGAGGTCAAAATCATCTAAAACAAGTCTTGACAAGTGTTTCTGTAGATGGAATAATAAGATGAGGAAGTCTTTGTACCTTGTTGTGCTTATAATACATGACATATGAAGTAATAGGTCAAACGGGATGGTCATTCTAAACATACAATGAACACATATGTGCAATAAGATACAATAAAGATACATCCACCTATGCACATCACATGTTACACACAGGATATACATACAAAAACATGTTAAACACAATGAAAATAATTCAAATAACCAAAAAATGCAGATATATGAACAGCCTAGAAAATTATTACAAATGAAAAATGAATGAAGTGCTATTTGACCTTAAATGTTATATGTAACAACACCAACCACACTACAGACCACACCACACCACACCACACCACACCACACCACACCACTACACTACATTACAATTAAAGCCTTTTCTACGAGGCCAGGATATCCTTCATTGAGGGATGACAAATAAAGGAAGCAGAGGATCACAATGAGGAATTGAAGAAAACTTTCCACGAAAAAATGAGAACCAGTAAATGTTTTGCCACAGATGGCTCAAAAATGGAGCACAAATCATTCATAGAGCTCGCAGTGATAGATATGTGATGGTATTAGCTGGAAATTCAGGATAGCTAAGCTAACATCCACTTTCACAGCAGAAGCCCTAGGAATGGGTGAAACACTAGAAATCATTCAAAAAATAGACTTGGAGCAAAATTTTATGATTTTCTCAGACTTGGAAAGCGTGCTAAAAGGAATTAGTAACACATGCATATGTTTGATGAAGCGAGAAGTGTGTACTGCCATTATGGGTGACTTTATTATATAAGTATGTTAAGGGATAAATATTTTTACTTCTTACCCAGAACAGTTCGGCTTCCTCCAACTGCTAAAATGCCACACTGTGGTGGGTTGATAATGGCACTGAATTCATCCACACCATACATTCCAAGGTTTGACACCCTTTATAAAAGAAAACCTCACTGTTAAATATACAGAAGGGTTAAGACACTGAAGGCAACATTACACCTACATACAATTTTGGTGAGAAAAAAAAATGTTCTCAGATGACAGGAGGTCATAATGTTGAAAGGTGAACAGCCAGTGCACACTCATTTCAATGGTATATTCTTTTACAGTAAGACATACCTTTGGAATTCAACTATGGCATTGAAATATGGCATCATTTCTTCTTGGTAGCAATAAATAACTTTGAAAAACATCTAGTGTGGACAAAGAAGTATTGTGGCAGCAAACTAAAACTAAACCCTTTTTGGATCAAACAGACTTAAGACTTAACACAGTATTTATTTATATATATTTCAACTCTTACGTAAAGGTTCCGCCTTGAAATTCATGAGGCTGCAATTTTCCATCCCGGGCCTTCTTAGCCAAATCTTGAATTGCCGCCGAAATTTCTTCAAGACCCTTTGCATCAGCTGCTTTTACAATCGGTGTTACAAGTCCTGCGTCAGTGGCTACTGCCACAGAAATGTCAATATCAACTGGGTATGTTACCTGCAATATTATAAGGCAATGCAATCCTGAAATATTGTACAAACTCAAAGTTAAATATCAAAAATGTGTCAAATGTTTTAGACATTTAACGACTTACAACTGTTTGCAGCCTGTGCTCTGATCATAAAATAGGAAAATTAGTACAATATTGACTTTCAGTGAAGAGGGGATCTATATATTTTGCTACAGAAAAGGGACTTGTGATCATAGTTTTGGAAGCGGAATTTTCATGATAATATGTCTTGAAATGGTAGTTAAGAAACTACAGACTGGGATATAACATAAATATGGTGCTTTTGTTCCTTAACCCTTCAGCGCGGTCATTTAAATTCCGCGGCCGCGTCTCCGGCGGTAATATATTCAGCCGGCCATTTAAATTTTGCTCGAAAATGATTTATTCATCATTGTTCTTAAATTATATGAGATAGGAACATGAAACTTTCACTAAAATGATCTTAAAAGGTGGTTTTATAACCTTACCTTATAATATGAGCGCCCTGTATCTCGGCAATGGAGGCAGGTTGTTTAGTATTTGAGCAGTGAATGGTACGCCTTGAAGCATGAAACTTTCACTAAAATGATCTTAAAAGATGGTTTTTATAACCTTACCTTATAATATGAGCACCCGGTATCTCGTCAAAGGAAGCAGGTGGTTCAGAATTAGCAGTGTAAGGAAGGCCTTGAAGCATTCGTGTAACCCAACGGTGCCCCACATTCATTGCTCCAATATTGTGTATCTGTTCTTTTGCTCTTTTTTGTTTTTACCACACAGCTTCTGTGCGGCCTTGCCTTCTACCCCGTGAGGGGTATAGTTCAAGGAAATGTCTTTCCGTGAGCAGTTTCGCTAATCAGGTCAGCTGCAGTAAATTCAACGTTACGAGTTATCATAACAAGGGTTTGTTGCTATGCCTTTGATATTCCATCCATTTTGGCGGCAGTAGATGTCGTAGGGGTGACCACAGAATTCATGAAGTTATTCTAAGAACTGGCTGGTATGTAGTGCACGAAAGCAGAGCTTAGCTGGCTCAAAAAAAATATTTATGGTCATCCCTCGAAACGACCACCAAGGTCAGTACGATAAANCCATCCATTACAGTTGGACCGACTAAACCTCTCCCAAGAGCAACAGGAACTTTGCTGCAAGACAGGCATATGTAACGATGAATTAGCGCAGCTAAACTCGTGTGTCATTAAATACGGTAATCCTGACAACAGGCCAGTGAAAAATCTAACAATCTACAGCAAATCCATCAATTATTATGGGCGTTATAACATAGGTGTGCAGCTGGACGAAACATACACGTCGAACCCCCCCAGACGATTTAAATACCTGACGAAACATACACGTCAAACCACGCTGGACGGTTAACCTAGTTCTGATTCTATCGGAGAGATGGCAGCGAAATGCATCCCTTGCAAGCATACTTCATGGCATTTATAGCACACCAGGCTGTTGCCATATAAATCCAAGCCAGTCTTCAAATTAACTCTGATGTCAGCCATGCATTTCTTTGGGGCCTGACCTATTACATCTTTACAAAAATTTCTTTTGGCACTGTCTTTCTGTTTAACATTAAGTATGGTTGTAATGCTGCGCCATAGCTCAAGCGGTTAGTCGCTGGCTTCCCGCTGCGATGGCCCGTGTTCGATCCCGGGTCTGGTCAAGTGGGATTTGTGGTGCACAAAGTGGTACTGGGACAGGTTTTCTCCTTCCGCGTTGGGTTTCCCCTGCCAATCTTCATTCCACCAATTGCTCCATAATCACCCTCACCTATCATCTGGGGCTGGTACAATAGGCCAGAAGTGGCCACAGTACAAAGTATGGTGGTAATTTACTGCCATTTGTGGTTATACACAGCATGACAGTAACATGTAACCTTTCATAGCCTGTGGTTTTCATTGCCACAGTACATCAGTATATCACCTGCTTATAAATTAAAACATCATGATTCACTTAGGAGAAAAATGTTATGTAACACTTTAACTGAACTTACGGTAACTAGGAACTCCGTGACTCACACTGTCATCTTGTATTGTTAGGACAGTTAATTCTGTGAGCCTGTCATGAACTTGACATATAGCTGAAATGGGGAAAGGAAGAACTAAACAGAATTCTGATGGAGAAATATGTTGGAAAATGGCTACTCAGAAGTTGGAGAAGGAGATGGGAGCATAAGATTAAGGCAGGATTCAAGGAAGTAGGCTGTGAGGATCAATGGTGGAGGGCAATATCCCAGCATCATGTCTGATGACCAGCTTTCATATCAATAGTACAGTAACAAACAGAATATTCACTGCTGCTGCTGCTGCTGGTGATGAAGATGATAGCAACATACCTCCTCTCCCTTATACAGGGCATTCACTTGAGGACATTGCTGTAGGGCCAGTGCAACTGCTTTGATCACGAAGTCATTGACTGACACTTTTATTCCGTCCTCCTTCAGCTGTTTCCTCAGAACGATAAGCTTATCAATTGTACAGTCAGTTACTCCATATGCATGCGGTATGGTTGTCTGCAAAAACAAGAAAGTTAAAACCATCTGATTAATCTAATTTGTTACATTGAACTGTACATACGCAGTAGCCTTCTTGCTCAACATAAAATCTAAAAACAATCATTACACTACATTGTGTTCCTGAGTAGAGTTACTAAGGTAGCAGTGAAATAAGTTCTGTGTTTGCCTGACTTTTAACATGAAGTTTCTTTCTACTCTGAGATCTGAAGCACTTCCACCTTTATCTTAATTATAATGAAATTCCGATTTATTGATTTTGCTGGGGAGAAAACTTCAGTATTTTAAATCAAGAATTATATGGAATTCAAACATAAAATGACACTTCATTATTAGTTACATTTACTTTAACATAACAAAGATGAAAAAATGTATGTTAAGAAAGCCTAAAACAAGAGATCATACTGTATAATAAGTCTAATTCCTGCCACAAAGTTAATGTTTCCAGGGCTGGAGCAGCAGCACATGTGAACCATGTAGCCACCTGAGGCAACACAATTTACAAACTTTCTTTTATCAAACTGTAATCAATTGCTATTGATCTTCTGTTCATACTGTGGCCATTCACTGGCAGATCACATAACCTTTGTGTGTGTGTGTGCGCGTGCATGTGCGTGGATGTGACTTCGTATGAGATTAGTAATGAACAAGGTGGCACTGAAGCAAGAAGTTGTCTGAGCTGCTTCTGTTTTTCTCAACTAATCACCACTTATCTATCACCACCCCCGAGGTGTCTAACAATCCTGACCAGACAGGGCTTCCTACCTGACCTGGAACTCTGCTGCCTATAGAGCATGGAATAGATTGAAGGCCATGATTGTGACCCACGGTGCCATCCTGGCATTTATATGGAGAAACTCATGAAAACCACAAATAACGTTAGCCAAAACAGCAGGCCAAGATTCAAACTATAGAGTACATTGCCTGAATACAAGTTTACTATCCCATGCTGATTGAAGGCAGGATTAAATGAAAACAGGGTGCAACTCAAAAAAGTGTTTCTACTAACCTTGGATTCTGTGAGCCTTTTTGCAATTGTTCTTCTCATTGAAGTGACCTCAGTATCAATGTATCCATCCCCCACCTGCTTTGGTACACTTGGTTTAGGAGGCTTCGCTGGAGTGCGTGCTGCTGCTTTTGGCGCAGATGGTGGAGGAACTACATGACAGAAAGATTACAAAAATGTTACACCTTTGTGAAAGTAACTGATGTATGGTATTGGCACACATCTGGGGAAGTTTCTTTGTATTTAGCATATTTGAAAAAATAATGAGGGAACATTATTGCTCCTGCAATGTAAACCCATGTAGTCTGGCAGAATATTATGAATGTTTTGGAAGAACTTCCTCCCTCCATTTCTAACCTCAATACAGAGGTAGCAAGTTGCTCAAAAATGTTAATAACGTTCTGCCAGACTACGTGGCATTGTATCCCAGAGGACAAAAGTAATCTCCAGTCACCTCCAAGAGAACTTCAAACTTGCTCAAAGTAAGAGTTGTTTATACAATATGTTAAGAAAATAACACACTCCTGTACCACAGGTACAGACCTCTCATCCATAAAGCCTGTGACCTGAAACAGATTTCTGATTCTAAGCATATGTGGTGTGATGTACTTACCGCAAACTCTGTACTTCATCATTTCCATAATTTCATTAAGTAATTCCACCTTTCTTCAGCCTCAGTGCAAAATGCTTTCTCATGGCCTTCCCACTAGACTAGTGGTTCTCAACCTTGTGTTAGACCACAGCCCACGAAATTCTTTTTCCTATAAGACAAGGGCCTGGTATAACTGATGCCAGGGCCCGGCAGTTCAGAAACACTGTACTAGACAATGCACTCCCTACTGATCTTCAAAGCAATGATTAAAAAATGGTGATAAATAACCACAATAAGCATAGAGGACTACCTAGAGATCTCTTTTCTTATGGCTTTCCCACCAAAGCACTGTAAGGATTTACCTTTCCCCACATATGCAACATGCCTTACCCTTCTCATATCCTCCTTGACTTAACAAACTACATGTACATGCCATTCAAACAAAGTGGCCCATCAGCACACTATTAAATCACTGCACAAGTTTAAAAAAAAAAAACATATTTCTGCAAGCTGGATATGCAGTCTTGTACCTATACTGCATTATGCAGCCTCTGAATAAAGCTCATTAGTGCAGCATTACAGCTTGCCCCAAAAGTAGTGTTACCTTACCTTTTAACTTGGTTCAAAACTTTCTCTAGCCAACAAATATGAGGCTGATACTAAGGACTGAGATGCATGTATTTCTTCAAATTCCATATGATATTATACCATGCTGAACATGAGCAAATCAAAGCCATTACTTTATAGCAGTCTGTTGTATTCACAAGGTTAGAGACCACGCACATCTAGTATGTTATACATAATGCATCAAATGTGTAAGACCCAAGTATGGTACAGCAAAACTTTAAATCTTAGGTTTATCATTCTGAGGTTACACTCTATAAATTTATGGTACTGTATTTCACAATGACATGGGTTTCCTGCCATATATTATGGTCTTGCTAAAAAGAATAGTAAGAGAGGGGTTTCACTGAATATATATCAGTTCATGTACCCAACAACAATTACAGTTCAAGAGATTAGACTCTGCTGATCAAAGTAACTGCAATTAATGCACTCCATGGTATAGAATCCTTCTTGAAGAGCTGTTAGTCACCCACATGATCAAGAAATTCACCACCTTCAAGAGCTCAAAGGTTCATTAATAAGTTCATGGCCCTACCACTGGGCCTTGTCCTCAGTCATATACAGCAAACTCCCATGTATTCGGTATCCAAGCATCTGCAATCCCCATGCAACCAGCAAAAATTTCAAAGATAATTTACCATTTCTCTAAAGTTTCTTAAAAAATAAAGTTGTAATGTGCATACGTTTGTCCACCACACAGTAGTTCTTCCAACCACCACTAGCTGTGCTGCCTGTTGTTCTACCTCATGCAACTGCCTAGCTGAATTTTTGACAGCATTATAGCATTATCTGAAAAATCTTTCATGTATCAATCCACTTTGTCACCCAGGAAGACTGTGATGAAAGAACTAAAGTGGAGAGCTGGTGTTCTGACTTTGTACTGTGTTCCTGTATGAGATCTTGCAATGCAACCAGTAGAGTCATGTAACTGGCCCATGCAATTCTGCATAAATGCTGGACAAGTGACAGTTCACTGCAATCTAGTCCACATCCTCATAGCTTATGGTCTTAAGGTTCACTTTACTTGTATCCTCTCTTCTATGATTAGGACCCCAGGTATTCTCTTCTCTTTAGGTTTTCCAATAAAAGTTTTGACTTCCTCATATTTACCATGTGTGCTGCATGTCCCACCCATCTCATCCTCCATGATTTAACAAGCGTAATAACCAGGGCCCGGATTTTGATGACATGTCATCTTATTTTTTTTGTATCCTATGCAATGCTCTTAAATATATAAATCTCGGATATGAGCTACAGAAATGGCTAGAGAAATGTAAATTTTATGGGTAATTTTTTGTCATCTTTAGGTTTAAGGTCATTTCTTCATTCTGGGGGTAATTTTTTGGTAAATTTTTGGACTTTTAATGGTATTTCTTGTCATTTTTGGCCATTTTAGGGAATTTTTCTTCATATGTTTTCTGAAATGTGTATAACATGGAAGTGAAGTGTTCTTTCTTTTCTCCTTTAGGTCATTTTTCTGGATTTTTCGGTCATCTTATAAGTCATTTTTTAAATATTTTCAGGGCATCAAAATCCAGGCCCTGCATATTACATTTGTGGGTCGTATTTTAGGTCATTTTTCTTGATTTTTTGGTCATTTTTTAAATATTTTCAGGTCATCAAAATCCGTACAAATTATGAAGATTCCCATTACACAATTTTATCTGCCCTCCTGTTATTCCCTGTGTCTTGGGTTTCAACACACATCTGAGACCCTGTGCAACATTTTGTGATATGTTAGGCCCCCTCCCCCATTCTTGAGAACACTTCAGAAACATCTGCACAAATGCAAATGATTTGGGATCAAGATTTTTGAAATTTATGAAAGTAGTACTGGGCATACATAGAATTTTACCTAGGTCATCCAGAAAGTAAAGACCGTTTGGTGATAAAAAATAAACAAATAAAATTAAAAAATTGTATTTCACATCACTACTACAGAACTTGTATCATTTTTCTACATAATCCCCATGAATATTCAGGTACTTGTATCGTGTGATGAGATTCTGTATGCCTGCATCGTAGAAATCTGCCACCAGTCAACTGAACCAGTCTTTAACCGTCTTCTTCACTTCTTCATGGCTACCCGTGAGCATGCTGCCCAAAAAATGCCTGAAGTGTGTGAACAAGTGAAAATCACTTGCCCCAGGTCCAGACTGTAGGGAGAATGTAAAAAAACGTCCCAAGCGAAGTCAGCAAGTAGCACATGTGTGCCAGCGGTCTTTACTTTCTGGATTACCCTTGTAAAATGTACACTGGCATTACAAAAGAGTATTCACATGGTGACAAATTTGTGAATGGACCTCCAGTTCGAGAACTTTCTACAGTTGGCTCACCCAGCTTCAGACAAAGGTTACACAGTGTTCCAGTCATGACCTTGTTGGCATGTTATTTAAAATGACAAGAAGTTCTGGGAAGAACTAATCACCTACTTTCCTCTGATATGACAAGGAGTGCATAAAAATGACACCTCCAACAATTCTTTGTTGCCACAGGAATGCTTTTGAGTTGTTACCTAGCAACAAAATGTGGGATGCACTTTACCAAGTCTTTGCTTAGCTACGATATGGGGATACACATACAGACACACACACTGATGGGAGGGATTTATAAAATTTGCTGTTGAGATGCACTCAATTGCCGTAATATACATACCAAGTTTCTTACAGACTGACTGAGGCATTTAAAGGCTGATAGGAGATGATTCAGAGACACTTTCATTTTTTTCAAAATAATGAAAGTGGGCTAAAAATGGACTGCAGTGGAAAAGTGGGATTTGATAAAAGGAGTGTACCAGAGAAAGTGATGGTCAAGACAACGAAGAATGGTGACTTAGTGGCAACATTCACATGAAAACTGCTGATCATGAAGTGGAAGGACAAGAAAGATTTAACTCTTGTCAGTGTCATCCATGACTATCATGGTTCCTATGCAAACAAGGGGATGTTATTAAACCTGAAGTTGCAGTAAATTACAAAAAAGAGATGGGTGGCGCTGATGTGGCTGAGAACTAGAAGCACTATTATGCCATGGCCAGGAATCAGCTGAAGTAATATTATATGAAAATATTTTGCCACTTAATGACATTTAAGCAGTGAATGCCTACCCTGTGCACAGAAAATTATGAAGGAAAAAGGAACGTCTGACATTCCTCGCTGAACTAGCCAAAAAGCTGACCGGGAGGTACACCTTGCCTCGTACCACAGCAGGCATTAGAAGGCCATAAATATTACCAAAACCTTCTTGGATCTTAGAAAGGCACTCTCCTGACCTTCTCCCAGCAACATGAAAGCAGAACCAACAAAATTATGCATTGCCTGCTATAAGAGAGGCTACCTCTGACAATTAAGCAACAATAAAAAAATAGTAAATATCCTAATTAAATTACCCATTACAGTGTAAAATTCTTCTTGCAATCAAGACACTTAGGAGGTTAATATGATTTTTAACATGATTTAAAATAAATCACAAAACATTTCAATTCTAAGATTACCTTCCTTTGGTATCTTTGGTTTCAGTTTATTGTCTGTTATATATTTTAGCACATCTCCTTTAAGTAGTTTTCCTTTACGGCCAGTAGCAGTTATTTGACTGGACTGCAAATGGTACTGTTCCAACAGCGTGCGGACTGCAGGTCCTAAACTCCTGCATATGGAAAATAATAAACAATGTTCAAACAACACAGAACCTTCCTTGACCCAGCCTTATGGATATTTAAATTGCAAAGCCAGTAAAAAGGGCAGAGAAAAGCATATGCTACAGACGTCACCATGAAAGCAAGATCATACACATAATCCAAGCATTCAAAATGGAATACTGCTGACATAATTACTTGAATTAATTCTTTTCCAAAGTATATACTGGGTGACACAAATGGAAAGAGAGGAAAAAAATAGGAGGGAGAATAAACAGCTTTGTAGATTTGAATAAAATGTGTGTCAGTTACATAGACCATACCTAAGCATGTGCTCAAAAAGCTTTGCTAAGTTCAGTTGATTTCTTACATAGAAATATATTTTTTTTAAATCAGAACCAGAGTTGAACATATCACTTTCCTCAGCTGATGGCTGACAATATTATCTGATGAGGCACAATTCCACATGGATGGTGTGGTTAATAAACAAATGTGTGATTCTGGGCATCCATTTGTGATTCATTAGAAGGTACATCATGCACCAAGAATTACAGTGTGGGTTGCCATCTTAAGTCATGAACTTCTAGGGCTAATTTTCTTTGAAGAGACAGTGAACAGTGAGCACTATAAGAATTTTGTGCCTCATCGTCTTGCTATAGGTTTGCCATTACAAAGTTAGTGGTTCGTGCACGATGGAGCCAGGCCGCACACAGCAAATGTTCTTTTGGGCTTTCTGCATGACACTTTCGAATCACGTGTCATTTCAAACTGATTTCCTGATCGTTTTACACGTGGACAGAACTGGCCCCCAAAGAGTCTGATTTAAACCCATGTGGCTACTTTGTTTGGGGATTACTTAAGGAAAAGATTTTTCTGAAAAAGCTGCAAACAATAATGGAATTGTGAGCACTAATCATTCAGGCCTGCAATGAGATAACTCAGGATATGTGCCACTGAATAGTCAACATCACAGTTCATGTTGAAGCAGTTGCTAGACATAATGGTGGTCATACTGAACACTTGATTCACAGAGGATACATCTCCATGCAATGGTCTTTCTTCTTGTATGTTAATTTCTTGTACTGCAATTGAGATGAAGATTTTATTATTAGATCAAATACTGGATCATTTGTGTGCCACCCTGTATATAGAACTCACTCTGATTGAGGTGCTGCCACGGTTGGTTTCGCTGTTGCTCTTGGTGCAGACGGAGGTGATGGCGCAGTGGCAGAAGGAATCTCAACATTCTTCCAGTCTTCTCCTGGGCTCACCATCAGAGCGATCAGTGTGCCTACTTTCACATCTTTCACATCTTCTTGAACCTATGGCAAGAACAGTCAGTCAACATATTCAGTACATTCACTATATGCCATGTCATCTTTCTAAAATACAGGATAAAAGAATGCTCCCCTCTGCCTTAATTTTAATAGCAGTAACTATAAAATATTGTAGTATCTAGATCTATTGCTAGGAAATGGCCCAGACACACACAACAGAGGAACATGCCACATCTGTGGTGTTCTCTGTGGGTACTCTCCAAGGCTATATGATCTGACCGACTGAGTTCAGTTCAGTTAGTGAGTGCAATGCAGTGATGTGAGCTGGTTGGTGAGCAGTCAGTTAGAGGACTGACCAAGAAAGTTTTCTTCACAGAATTTAGCCACTGGACCTCTTCTACTCAAAGTTACATTGTTTTTTTTCATTTTCAGTGTTCTGATTTTCAAAATATTGAGTAAGCCAAAGACCATGTAAATCCAGTATTTGATTTTATTTGTTTTTTTGCATTTAAAATTAGGTACTCTTCTTTACAGACTAAATAGCCAAATAATCAAATGATGACTTTTAGACAGATTATTGTTTTTTTGGGGGGATGAGATGCCACATAGTCCAGTAGAAACCCACTAATGTTTTGGAGCAATGTACTGCCTCCTTATTCATTCAGGGTAGAAGCGTATGCCAAGCATGTCACCAATAATATGTAGGCAGCAAGCTATGCTACATAATGTCACATGCCAGAAGATCTTCATGATATCCACTGCAACTTCAAACCAAACAGCAATTTTACTGAAGTGGCCACCGTGAATCCCACACTTTCAAAAGTATGATAATTCACTGTGGAATTTTATTACAGGAAATGTATAAAGGTGAATTCAAAGTAACCTGAAATAAACAGAAATAAATAATTTTCCAAAATGTACAGATACTGAGATCTCTTACCAGCCTTGGATTCAACTTCCTGCAGAAAAATAAAATTCAAAACAAATCCTTTTCATTGTAGTTCCTACATTAAGCCATTAATAAATACTCAACATGTATCAGAGTTAAACAAAACAGAAACCTACCAATATCTTAGCAAGTACACCTTCTTCTTCTGTCTCAAATGACACGACTGCCTTATCAGTCTGTATGTCACAAAGCACGTCTCCAGGAGAAACTGAATCACCCTCGTTTTTCAGCCATTTCACAATAGTGCCTTCTGACATTGTCGGTGAGAGTGACGGCATTTTCACTTCTTGCCCTGCAACTGCAAGCAGCATAAAGTCAGTATTTATACTTGTTACAAAACTAAGGCACATATAAACTCCATGTACTATGGGAATGAGGGCGCCTAACTGTCAGCCAATGATGCAGACTCTTAACATCATTATTAGGAAGTTACTAGATTATATTTTCAACATACTTCCTCTATTCACAGGCCAGTGAGAAACTTAAATATCACTACACAGGACTTCCCGCAAGGTTACCTATATATGGTACAAGAGCCCTGGTTTGTAGAGTAAATGGCATTCATATATTATTTTCAATAAATCGTAAGAGGCATCTTTCCATTAATGCCCTAATTTTTAGTAATTTTACCTGAAGACTCTCTCATAATTTACTTACAACTGTCTTACATTAGATACAGATTAAAACATTTGCTCTTCTTTCACAGTTCACAGTGAAAAGTTATGTAATTCACAAACTGGAAGTCTGATATTGGGTCCTTTAATCTATAAATACTTGGAATCATAATGTATTTGAGATATCTGTGATTGAATTAAACTGTTTGTAAATTTTTACATCTACATACAACATACTTACAAGCATCCCTCGCATGGACATTTCTGTGTTCCTTAAAATGTTATGTAAAATGGAACTGTGCCAAGAAAAATCAGTTTTCAATAAAAATATATATATATAAAACAAAGAAGGGCTGCATTCAAAGAGAAAATATCCCTCTTGGCCTAAGCACTATGCTCTGAAGGTGCACTAGAACTATGGAGGTAAAAATGCACTCAGTTTTATCCTCAGCACTAGATGGAAGTAGTCGCACACTGTTACTCTGGCGATGAAAAGGCTTCCCATCCCACATCCATACCTGTTGGACAGGAGGATTGGTCTGTGTTCCCTCCCAAAAACTTCCAGCCACAGGTGCTAAGTTAATGTCCACCAACAATTCATGCTTAGTAAGTCCATATATTCCAACAATCTGTTATCTTACATCCTGTGATAGTTGCATCACTTCCATCCTAGATGTTTGCACAACTGCCATGCTGACATGATGGCCAGAAAATGGAAGTGCAGTGGCCTCCAGTCACATGACATTTATGAGTCTCTTAAAATCTGTTCCTTGATTCAAACATTATCACATGGGGCAGGCATAAACATGGATGGACACATGGACAGGATGGTACCATAAGCCCAGCTTTCCTTGCAGAACAAGTAAAGTACACCAAACAGTTGAATTTTGGAGTGGTGTGTTCCTGACATAAAAATTGAAGTTCACCAGTGACATGGGGGAGTCATAGCTGATAAGACTGAGTAATTGGTCATGGTGAAAGTCAATGGGTTTGTATATGAAGGGAAGTCGTTATGACCTAATTGAAGAACTATCTCGGCATATATCTGGTGAGATAATACCACAAGAAACCTCAGCCACAATAGTTTATAAGGTAAAAGGTAAAGCTGTCCCTGTAACAGACCGTGAAGGCCCATAGGGGTGTGAGAGGTTGAGGCTCCCACATCTTCTAGACAATCGGCTCATAGATGGCAGCAAGATAGTCAGCCTTATGCGCTGGCTGCCCTTTACCCCAGGAAGATTCTTGGTATTCGTTTCTGTCAGAGGCTGAGTTGATCCCAGGGCCGTATTGTGGCTGGAAGGATTAGGTCAATTGAAAAAAATTCACCTCAATGGGACTTGAATCTGCGACCTTCCAGCTTGTTACATCGTGCCTCAAACATGCTACCACATGCCCCCCACAATAGCTTGTGTCCTAGTCGAAATTCAAACCAAGCACCTCCTGAATATAAATCTAGAGTGTTATTGCTATACTAAGCTCATTGGTTTGAGTCAGGACGGCAAAGGAAAGCATCACTCTCATTAGAGGATGTGTGCGTATCACTAGCATCTGGTACACCTAATGTTTAGAAACTGTGCAGCAGATTTCTATTTCCACTTTCGAACTAAACTAAACTGTGAGCTGCTAGCTCCATAAGGAACCTTCTTCAAACAAAAGTATGTCACTCTAATGGACCCTAAACAAAGGCTGCATATAGGGCATGTTATCTTCCAACAAATAAAGATCAATATTCTGTTAACAAAATGAATACTGCACTGTGGGTCTGCTTCAAATTTTGATTCTGCACAGATATGTGTCTGTGTTTGAATGCAGATGCTTATTGGAAATCAGAAAAGAAATATTATTACACAGCAAAATACCAATACATTTTCTACAGCCATTGAACGTGCTGGTTACACAACACACTGATTCTGATGTATACAGTAAGTGATTGAACTGAATATATCAATAGGTTAATCAGTTTATTATATTGACCACTACATGTTTCAGACATGGTTGAGCATCATCAGGTGTGTACATATATAATCATAAATATATTGTAATATATTGCTTAATATGTGATCAAAATGGATCCATTTTGGTAAATCACGACTTAAACATTCATTCATTCATTCATTTATTTGCATTCTGTTAATCCATACAAGGTCAAACCAACCTATGGGATATAGAACCTGTCAAGATACAAATATAATATAAACATAAAATAATGATATATACGTACATTCATAAAGACCACAATAAGGACATAAAGTAAAAACACAGTATTGCATAACAGCAGTGTAGTGGTTAAAAGATAAACTGATTGAGCTATTGATAAATTCAATTCAACTGCTTCAACATGTTGTGTGATGGCATAAAAACCCTAAATCTAGACACACAAGATGCATAGCATAAAAATAAAGATGGTTAAATTTACTTTCATAAAATTAGTTTCAGTGTATACAACATAGATGTAAGGTCAAGTTAGGAATAACGACAGTTCTTAATGGGTCTTGGCTAATACAAAAATTGCCATAAAAATATTCGTGATTAATGTACATACGTTTTAGCACACCAACACCTATCAAATTCCCCATGCCCATACAGTACATTGCACAAACAATCCTTTCCTTTATCTACAAAAGTTTCACAAGAAATATTTCACAGTTTGGCAGCTGTTAATTTAACATTCAGAATATATAAAAAAAAAAGTTACTCAAATAAGTACTTAAAATAATTCATGAACTTATGACTATACCTTCATAACTTTCATACTGTTTTCTTCTTTCATGGCCTACTGTATTTCTTATGTCAGATGGTGTACTGAAAGCTATGACTCAGAACTTCGTCATAAACTGCTGATACAGAATGCTTATCCAATTACATTCTATAAAAATTAGGTAAACATTGTTTTTAGTTGGTAAGCATTCAAGATATGAAGCCCTTCATTATGCAGTTTTCTCAAAACCCCCATCACTTCATCTTTCTTTGGTCTAAATATTCTCCTCAGCATCCTCTTCTCAAACACCCTGAGTCTATGTTCCTCCCTTACTGTCAGAGACCAAGTTTCACAACCATACAAAACCAGAGACAAAATTATAGTATTGTATATACTAATTTTTATGTTTATAGACATCAGGCAAGGGGACAAAAGGTACCTGACTGAATGGTAGCAAGCATTACCAAAATTCAGTCTCCTCAAAATTTCCTCCTGAATTAAGTTTTAATTTCTTGCTGTTGTTCCCATATGTTTGAACTGTGCCACATTTTCAAAAAATCTGTTAGCTATCTTCATGTCATGATTTCACACTGCCTTCTGGTGATAAAACAGCAACACATACTTAATTTTCTTTGTGTTTACTTCTAGACCAACCTCCTTAATAGCATCAATTAAAGTTTCTGTGTTTATCTTTATGGTATCTGTGTTATCACACAGTAGATTCACATCATCAGCATAGACCAACAGCTGATGTGTCCCATTTAATTTCAAATCCACCTGGTTTTCCTGGACCTTCCTAATGGCATACTCTAAAGCAAAGTTGAAAAGCAGTGGTGATAAAGCATCTCCTTGTTTTAGACCATTCTGGATAGGAAAATTACCAGATAAATGTTTACCTATACAGACTTTACAATATGTGTCATTTAAACATGAAAATATAGTGAACACTATATAACAATTAATTTACACATGTTGTCTGGACATAGGCTGTCACTATAGCATTATAAAAGGACTTACAGTAACATCAGAAATCATGACTAAATTGTTAATACCCTTGAAATAAGATGTGCACATCAACAGTAATTAGTTAAAATTCAGTGAAGTATGTGGTACTACTACCATGCACTTCACTGGATTACACACATCATGGTGATTGGCATATGGCCCACAACACAACAGTTGATAAGATATTTGTAACCAAACGCAGAAATGAAGGTTGTCATTAGATTCCTCTATTTACTCAAGAAGAATTTTTAATTTATTTTAACCAATCTTAACTCATGACTCTTGATAGACACAACTTATTTTGGCTGTATTAACAATTTAGCATTGATATCTAATGCTACTCTAAGTCCCTTCATGATAATATAGTGACAATTTATGTTCAGACAACACGTGCTGACTACGCCTTCTGATGATGGACAACAGTGGCTAAAATAAGTAAAGGCAAACTTTTACTTTCTTCTCTTAAACTCGTTACAGTTGATGGAATCCTGCCACTTACTTATGTATCAACTTCAAATTAAAACTCAACACACATGATATAATGCACTAAAGTTTAAATGATAAAACAAACAAAGCTTGCTTGTATTTGGTAAAAGTTTAAAAGTGGTTGTCCATATTGGACATTATCTAAATAAGAACAAGATGATGGGCAAGTAACAAGGAAGAGGTGTAATTTCAAACTGCATACCAAAAATTTCTGGTGCCTCATAGGTTCTTCACTAATTCAAATAAATACCAAAGCAAGGCACATACTGCACTCTGCATTCGGGTACAATTATCAGGAACCCATTTCATGCTTAAGTAACTCTTTACTGCAATTACCCCCAGATCCTGGTTTCGATGTTTGTTCTGATGATGGCACTGTTGGTGGTGGTGATTGAATTGAAGATGATGCATCAGATGAACTGGGGACCTCAACTGACTTCCAGTCTTCACCCTCAGCCACCATGAGTGCTATAACAGTTCCTACTTTTACATCTTTAGCATCCTCCTGGACCTGCAGAATGATGTTGCAATATAATGTGTACTCACCTGTACTTCTTACAATAGTTATAAAAACAAGGCAATACGCTGCCTTATTTCACATACCCTCTTGCTGCCAAACATATTACTACAGACCATGCAAGAATTACCATACTTACCTTTCACCATAGCCCACAGGACTTCCAATAAAGCTGTATCCTGCTGCATGCTAACAAAATGCCCTACAGGAAAAAATTTGCAACTCTTGAGTTCATTACTTAAAGAAGGGCTCCAAAATACTGATCATGATACTTCAACAGTTTCCACTGTTAGTGCATGGTATCAATTTTCATTAGTAAGGACCAGGTTTCACGACACTTTCCTACCCGTAGCAGTGCGTTTCTTTCCTGTATGAAGGCCTCCATGGTGGCCAGTATTTCCCATGATGCACCAAACATAGCCTTTTCTCAATGTATATAAGTATTTTATTATAAAACTGAATTATATGTATTGTTTTTGCAGTACATCTTTCACGTCTGCTAACAATAAATTCAGCAGATAACTTAAAAAAATAGTGAGAACAAAGTACTTACTTCCCTGGGCAAGTGGGCCCAGGCAATCTTCCCAAACCAGTATATAGCATGTGGTCTTTCACGGCAACCTAGCATGTTGGCGGTTCACCCAAAGTTTTTTTTTTTTTTTTAAATTTGGATGTCAATTATTGGTAATATAGAATGGTGCAAAGTATTAAAACTATGGTAAGAACAAACTCTTGATAAAGTTAAACAGAAAACAATAATAATGGGTCAACAAACACTATGTGAAAAGCACTGTAATGAACTGTAGTGAAGAAAAGTTTAAATTTCAAGTACTTGCTATTTTTTTATAAGATGGCAACTGTAGAGGCTATTTAATGCCAAATTAAAAATATGACCAACAGTCAATGGTAAACAAAAGAACTTAGGACAGGCCTGTTTTTAATATAACATGGTTATGGCTAATAATGTATTTACCTATGAATATTTAACTAAAACTATTTATCTAGATTTGATGCTTTCATACTGACTGAACACAATGATGTGTTCTTGGTCTATGAGCTAAGTGAATATACAGTTGGTATCCAACATTTTGGAAATTGTTTCCAGCTCCTTCATCAGCAATTGATGCCAGTCCCTCATTGTGTGTGTGTGTGTGTGTAGAAACAAGTTTCCTAAACACTGGACACTAATGCCATCTTCACAGGGCTGATTCCCCACAAGGACTTTGTTGAATACCATTCATGTCAATTGCGCAACTATCTCTACTGTACTGCAAATCTTAGCATAACACACAGGACAGCTAACACTTATACCAAAGAAACCCCAAAAAGCACCACAATATTAGCCACATATACTACATAATCAACATTATCAACAGTGAAACTTGTTAGTAGGATTCTCATAAAGCATTTCCATTCCACTGGCATCCTTAAGGAACAAAATTAAGAATGAATTCAGGCAAACTGAACTTTTGAAATTCACATATTTAAATTTCTGAACCTTCTGTCATGCTTTAATTAAATGTGGTATTTGAAATCCTTATAAAATATCACAAGTATATGAATTTGTTCAACATAAGACAGTTCAAAGATTCTGTTTATCAAATCAAGTATTTAGCAAAACTGAAAAATACTGAATATAATACTTAAGGAAATTAACGAGTTTTATATGCAAATCTATTGCAGCACAAATTGAAGTTTTCAGTGGCAATGACTTGAACACCAGTGTATGGTATGTGACACTGTGTAATTTGGTAAAAGTTTACCAGCGTTCTGGAGGAACATACTGCCTCCATCTTCATGTCAAACAGTACACTGAGCAAGCAAACAACTTGCAAACAAGACAGGGTTGTTACTGGACAAAAGGAATAAAATCTAAATATCAAAAGCTGAAAGAAGAAAACATGGAAGAAATTGATGCTGGTCTTAAACCTCAAATATCGCTTACGGTCTTAGGCAGGAGATTTGGATTTAAGTGTCAGGTTCCAAGTTTGCTCAATTTCTGAAAAGAAACTTCATCATGTGAATGTGAACCTCTTAAAAAGATGTTGGGAATGTGTATATAAAGTCAAGGAACACTTCTGGCATCTGCTGAAATCTGGGTGGGTTTAGTTTGTCATGTGTTGGCTTATGGGCTTGCCGTATATGTGAAAGTGTGCCAAGAGTTGACTTGAGGAGCATAACTCCTCCACTGAATGATCTGAATGATTTGCTGCAGGCTGTCAGATGTCTCCCTGCAACTACTGTGTATATTGTAAAAGGAACACAACCACAAGAATTTAGGTTATGTTTGATGTAAATAGTAGTATTTCATTTTTTATTTTGTGTGATGGAAATCACAGTTGACTGTCATTCCAATGAGCCACCTAGAACTTGTAACACTGTATATTCTCTTTCTGATGGGTTTTAGAACAGGTTTTAAATTCACCTTTTGTGGTACTGGACCTTAAATGTGTAATTAGTGTGTGCTATGAGCACAGTAAAGCCTTTTGGAAATCTGGTAGCCAGATAAGTATTCTGATCACCAGAATAAAAAGGATCACTATCTCCTGGTGCCTTGCTGTGACCCTCACCTACCAAGCAGCATTAAGCTTAACCTACTGCTGTTGTACTGTCTTAAACAAAAGGAGCCCAAGCATCAGCTAATGTAAAAAAATCAGATCCAAAAGAGACATTATTATGATCTACTGGATGATTTCTGAATTTAATATCACAATTTAGATATTTTTAGGTTTAATATTTGTGGTTTCCATAGCAGTGAAGAATCATGTTGTGGTCTTCTGGGTTATGACACTTTAGTCTGGAAGTTAGGCACTGTTTCAGAAAAACATTCTGCCTCCATCTTACACCCTGAAAATGGTGGCAGAATGTTCCTCTGAACACTGGTACCCATCTTCTGGACTACACAGACAGAAGACCAGGATAAAAATACATTTTGTGGTTATTAATTGGAAGGGTGGTGGAGGGAAGGTGGTATGAACAGTATGTGCCTATCTAACATCTGCATCACATGGTTTCCTTGTTACTGAACAGAGGACACTACTTTTTGCAAGTAAAACATACATTGTAAAGTAGATTCTGATATCACATGTAGTAAACAGCAATAGCATTTACTTCCTCATCAGCATACACTGACCCCTGCTTTACAATATCCTATATTTTAACTTTATTTCAGAAGGCTAGTTCAAACATACTAAGACTGAGGGGATATGATACCATGTAGTGTGTTGAAAGTCAGCCAACGTTTTTGAGGAACACATCGCCTCCAACTTCAGGGTCAAATAAGCTGGGCAACATAACAGTGTAAAAGCATGTGGCAAGTCAAGTAGACTTTCAATGGACTATATGGCATTATATTCCAGAAGGCAGTACTCCTCGTAACCACCGCTGTGAGAACCTCAAATCCTACATACTAGGATTGTTACTGCTGCCTTTAATTGTATTCTAACAGTACTCTAATTCACGTGTACATACCAAAATTTTTGCAAGAATTCCCTCTTCTTCAGTTTCAAATGAAACAACAGCTTTGTCTGTTTGTATATCACAAAGCACATCACCTGGAGCAATAGGGTCACCTTCTTTTTTCAGCCACTTCACAATGGTTCCTTCCGACATTGTTGGAGAGAGCGATGGCATTTTCAGTTCTTGACCAGCAACTAAAAATAGGCAAAATATGAAATAGTATTAATTCCAATCAGTGTGAATATTAATAAAAAACTTAAGCCTTATATCCCTGATTTACAATTCTTGGTAATTTTTCTTATCGCCTCTAAACACATGCTAATATACAGTACGCTGTTAACAATTATATCACAGCAACTGACATTCCCACATTTGTAAATAATTTTTTATTTTCACAAAAATCAAAACCGCTACCGAAAACATGTAATAAACTCACACAATGGTTCAGGACTCACCACATAATAAAGTTGAGTTATGAAAACAAACTTTCTGTTTAAGTTTCAGCCTATGGGTTTGTAATAGTAGCGTCTGTACATAATTTCTCGTTATATTTCCTATTCTAACTCTCACAGCAGCAGCCATCCCTTATTACGGAAGATCGACCTTCATATGTTCTTTGTGTATAGTTTTTCCAAAAGTATTCGTATATGTAGGGTGATGTAGTGCGTGTAGGGTATCATGAAAAGCTAATCGAAACGAAATCAACTGAAACATAATGTTTTCGTTCTGTCACTTTCCTTTAATCATGTTCATTTAATTGCAATTTAATTCTTTCTATGGGACTTTTGTTTTCTATATTATATATATCCACAAATATAAAATACGAACGGAATATGACTGTTACCAACAAGACTTAAGACAGTGGAACATCGTTACCGAAAAAATAAATCGCAAAATGTTTCAAATGGCGCTAAAAGAATTAAAGTTATACCACATCAGTAGAAATATGATGTATGTAAGTAACGACCAGAGTTTTAATATTTTACTTAAATATTTCGGATAAGACACCAGTCTTTAACAGTAAACCCAAGGGACGTTAACCTAACCTTAATTCTTATCATGCACAAGAATGATTTTGCGTCTTAAGTTCTTTTAAGTATTTATATGAAAAGAATAATTCCTTCAAGGGACATGTAGTAATATTTCATTGCGTTTAATCATTTAAGCCAAGGAGCCCCTTCATTCAGCCGTTCAAAGTTGGAACTGCAAATGTGGCAACACAGGAAGGACCGCCACAAGAATTTTCTGAACCACAGATTCCTCCATACAGGGAAAGGACCGATGAACCACTTCAATTAAAGAGAGCTCGGTAATTCATATGTTGCAATTTTCATAATCCTGAGTGAATGAAGTAGGATTCCCCTTGTGTCCACACTGTGCACGTACAGTAAATAATAACAGCTATCAAATGAAGCTCATGCCATTGAAATGAGAAAAGGTAAAGCTATCCCTGTAACAGGCAGTCGAGGCTCCCACATTTTCTAGACAATCAGCTGACAGATGGCAGTGAGGTCAGTCTTATGCGCTGACTGGCCTTTGCCCCCAGGGAGATTCCTGGTACTCATTTCTGTTAGAGGCTGAGTCGACCCCAGTGTAATAGAGTGGCTGGAAGGATTAGTTCAGCTAAAAAATCCTGTGACCTCATTGGGAATCGAACTCGTGACCGTCCAGCTTGTAGCACAGTGCCTCAACCAACTATGCTACTGCGTTCCCCACTACCATTGAAATACTCTAATGAATTAGATTAATATTTAAATTTCTCTATCTCATCACTACACACTCAAGTGAGTCATGTGAGCATTAGGTGGGCCAAGGGGTTGTGCCTCTTACAACCTTAGAGATTACTGACAACAAAATTCCTTCTGAAAGCAGTACTGCTGTTGGTTACTTTGAGTATAGGTATAATTTTATTTTCAATACTGCATGCTAATCTCTCCTGCCACAGACACAATAAGAAATATGATGTAATAGGCATATTTATTTGTTGATCATTTAACAGCTGAGTTACTTTGGTTAGAGAACATTAAAGCTTCAGCTTTTTCAGTAAAGGCTTCTATGAAAGTGGCAAAACTGAAAGCTGAATCTAAATAACAAACTTCTTGAAGCTGAGTCCTTCTTGAGAAGCTGCCTCTTACTCAGATACGCAAGAGTTTTCCAGCAATTTATGGAACCCAAAGTTTCATTACCGTGTTCACAAGAGCCCTCCACTTGTCCCTATCCTGAGCCATCTCAGTCAAATCCATACCACCCCTTCATGTCTAAGATCCATTTTAATATTATCCACCCACCTATATTTTGGTATTTCCTTCTGGCTTTCCCACCAATATTCTATATGTATTCCTCATCTCCCCAGTTGTGCTACATGCCATGCCCACCTCATCCTCCTTGACTTGATCATTCTAATTATACTTGGAGAAGAGTACAAGTTATGAAGCTCCACTGCAGTTTTCTCTAACCTACCATCATTCATCTCTCTTCGGTCCAAATATTCTCCTCAGCACCCTGTCCTCAGACACCCTCAGACTGTGTTCCTTCCTTCATGTCAGAGACCAAGTTTCACAAACATACAGAACCAGAGACAAAATAATAGTTTTGTATATTCTAATTTTTATGTGTCTAGACATCAGATGACAGGACAAAAGGTACCTGACTGAATGGTAGTTAGCATTACCCAGGTTCAGTCTCCTCAAAATTTCCTCCTGAATCAAGTTTTAATTTCTTGTTGTTGTTCCCATATATTTGAACTGTGCCACATTTTCAAAACATCTGTTAGCTATTTTTATGTCATGATTTCACCCTGCCTTCTGGTGAAAAAACAGCAACACATATATGGTTTGTTTACTTATAGACCAACCTCCTTACTAGCATTAAAGTTTGTGTTTTTCTTTATGGTTATCACACAGTAGATTAACATCATCAGCATAGATCAGCACCTGATGTGTCCCTGTTATTTTCAGTCCCACCCAGTATTCTTCAGTGGAGGTCATTTAGTCAAGGAATCAGTTCAGTTCCAGAGCCCTTTGTGACATTTCATAAAAAGCAACGGTGAGGAGTTGCTTACACCATGCCCAACTGCCCAGCTGAAGGACCACCCTTTGTTGATTGTCCATATATGCTTATTCAGTATATTCTCAGCTACCCTCCATATCTGGAAGCCATCTTCTCCGTCCTCAACCTGAGGATGTGCCATGTTCCATAAGAGATTTTGTTTTTCATTGTACACATCAGCCAATGGAACATATATCCACGTACTTCCAAGATTCTGTGTTTTAATTTTGCATGAAGTATTCCTACACCATAACTAGACAGCTAGGAGCATATCAGACAAACAACCTCATCTATTCAAACGAAACAGAAAACCATACTAGTTACGGTGATGTATGGCTTCATGGTTATTCTTAGTCTTTTAAGACTTACATTTACTATATATTCCAACTACTTTCACTCCCTGTTCCTGTTGCCTGAACAGTTGGTAGTGTGAAATTATTAGCTGCCTTGAATTTTTGTGTCTCAAATATGGGGTCACATCTTTGTTTCAGCCTTCTCTACCAGTCCCGCAAGAGAGGCATGCTTGAAAATGATTTGTTGCTAGCAAGTTTTGCAGCCAAGTACCTTCAAAGCATGACGGCAGAACAAGTTAAACTGTATGATCGTCTTATCAATTTACCATCGAATGACTGGGACATTTTCCATTGGGCTACAGGAGTTAAACCTACACCAGCTGAGTTTGACAATGAAATTATGCACTTATTGAAGGAGCATGTTCAAAACAAGGATCGAGAGTGTCGAGTTCTACAACCGAATTTGTATACTTGAGATCCCTTCAAGTGATTCATTAAAGAAAAGTCACATGCTAGGAAAGCGACTTAGAAAAATGACACACCATAACTGAATAGTGTAGGAAAACCAGATGTTATATCATGAATTATTCATGATTTTAATCCTATGTTTAGTTATTATAACAGTTGAAGAAAGTAGATTTCAACTGCAGTGCATTACCTACATGTTGTTGAAAGACACTGGCAGTAATTTATTTTTGGTACAGTATGATGGGTCTTCTAATCTCATTAATGTATTTATAAAATTCCCAAAGCCATTGAGACTAATGTGTGCTCGGGTAGAAATGAAAAAAGTTTTGTCTTATTTTTATAACTGCAGGGTTGTTCATATATGAAAATAAAATATTACCCCTTGGAGCTGAGTCATTATTGAGATATTGCCAGTCAGTGACCTACTTAGGAACTTAAAAGCATTTAATGGAGCTCAAAGGTTTATTCCCGTGTTTGTGAGAGCCCTTCACTGGTCCCTGTCTTGAGTCGAAGGCCATTCCAAAGAATAGAAATAAAAACTAAACCCTTGAAACCCATAGTATCTATATGCAGCATTACTGACCTAATAGGCATATGTCCGACACTGAGGAAGTCAAAAGTTTCACAGTTTGAGTTCCCTGACTTGCCTATAGGTAGAGCTCACAACAATTTATTATGTACCAGGATTACATTGTTTTTAGTACTTTGTATTTAATAATGTGTATTTCTTAAACCATACAGTACACAAAAGTAGACAGAAAAAATTCTTTTGGCAACGGCGCCTGGAGAAAAAGTACTGTTACAGTCAGGATAGCTCAGTCAGTATAGTGATGGGCTTCAGGCAAGACTGCTGTGGTTTCATTCCCAGCAGGGTCAAGATTTTCTTTTAAATGCATTTTGTTATGGTTTATGTTCAAGGAAATAAAAAAAATCTGCCCATGTATGTACCCGTAGGAAGTTCTAATTGACCACTTAATATTCCTTACTGAAAGTCATGTTTGTCAGCTACGGTTTCTGTAAGAAGGATCACCGACTGAAACTAAATAAGTAACTACTGTTCTGGCACGTGAAGTACAATTGTTTTTTTTTTAATTCGCCTAGTGGGGAGGGGGGGTGGAGTCCAGCTGGGTTTGCTCCGCACAGCGGACACTGATTGGCCTATTGTACCTGCCCTGGGTGATTATGATGATGGAGAATTTGGTGGAATGAAGATTGGCAGGTGAAACCTAAATACTCGGAGAAAACCCGCCCCAGCGCCAGTTTGTCCACCACAAATCCCGCTTGAACAGACCCGGGATCGAACCTGGGCTACCACGGTGGGAAGCCAGCGACTAACCGTTTGAGCTATGGCGCGGCCAAGTACAATTGGTTAATTTTAAAAGTTTCATGTCACGAGTAAACCGCGTTTAAAACGGAACCAGGGCCACGGCTCGAGAACCCAGAAGCCCCAGAAGAGTCCAATATCGATTTACAAATTATACTGGAGCACGGATTACTCAGTAACGGAGAGACTACGTTTCACAGATGCATCGACTTTCCACGCAGTCTATTAATATTTGTTTAGTTGGCAGCACTGCTGAGTGTGATGTGCCGTGTTTCGGAGTATGTAATGTTATTTGTCATAACACACTTTTAGCGTTCGTACAGTAGAAGTCCTTCAACATTAATATTACATTTCAGTTCCTGGGCAGTACAATTCGTACGTAGCGTGAGATGGGGGTCAGACTGTAAAAATGGTGCCTCCAATTTATCACTCACCTTCTAATCAGCCAGCAGCTTCAAATTTTGCACGCCTCCGGCCGGCGGTACAGTTCTTGCCAAAACATCCATACATGAGCATAACAACTTGCAGGAATTGTGTGGCTTCGTAGATCCTTCGAATAGTAAGTATTATTAATATTATTAGCACTTATAGTATGTCCGGAACCACTGTTCCATTGGTTTCTGTCATGTTTCATTTGAATCACTTCACGTCAGTATCACCTCGATTAGACATTTCAGTAGTTTACTTGGATTTCCCCCAGTATTTGCACAAGAGCTTATTAGATTTAGTTTTCCGTAGGTGCGCGTGTAATTATTTAATTCTTGGATGATGAGATTTTGAGAAATTACGATTAAATTTCATCGACAAAATAATTTTGGGCAGAAGTGGACGACTTGAACTCGAACTCGATTTCCTCACGAATGGGTTACATCGATTCGCAGATCAACTATGCTCTCTCCTGAAATATTTATCCCTTTTTCACCAGGTCCTTCTTTGCCATCCGTAAAGCCTCATTCGTTTAATTTTGTCGTAGACATTTCAGGAGGGGGGCTGAATCCGTAAATTTCCGATATCTGAAAATACGGCATGACTAACAAAACTGAAAGAAAAAAAAAGTTTCAAAACACGAGTTGTGCTTTGGATGTACATTTTATGTAATGCGTTTTCGTCATACAAAGTTCCGTTTTTAAGATGAGTTCTGCTAAGTACTAAAGTGGACGAAATGTGCGTTAATATTATAGCATAAGCACTTTCCCATTCTTGTTCATTTAATCGCCGACCCCAGGACGGTATCATGCCATATTATTGCGGAGCCGCGATTGGTTGATCCCTGGCCCCACTTGCGTGTGACGTAGGAAACCGTCGGGCCGAAAAATTTAGCACTGATATCAGAACTTCAGTTCAACACCAGTTAAAGAATGCCATCGCAAGAGCATTCAGCGTAAAGTATGTCTAGTGGAACAGTTCCATCATATAAAATGTACAACTGGTAACGCAACTGGCTAACACGTGGCGCTCTGTCGATACTGCTTAGAGACGCGATACCAGGGATCATTAAGACGCGGCCGAACTGTAGTATTGTTACAAACATCGGTCGCCTGGCATTTTCGACCACAACCGTCAGTAGAACAGTTCCTTGCCCCGGACTCAGCCACTTTCCCGGCCTGGGCTGAATCACCAGCCATACCCCAGAACCGAGGTTACGACAGAATGCCGACTTGTTTTGTCTGTTGCATATAACATTACAGTCTTACATTGATTCATAATATTTTAATAAACGTGGTTTTAGTCCGCAAGCGAACTATACCGACCGAGCAACCGCCGCTTGTCGGCGAAGTTAGTGCGAACTTTAGCGGATAGAGGATGTCGCGTGGTCAGCGCAACGGANTATTGCGGAGCCGCGATTGGTTGATCCCTGGCCCCACTTGCGTGTGACGTAGGAAACCGTCGGGCCGAAAAATTTAGCACTGATATCAGAACTTCAGTTCAACACCAGTTAAAGAATGCCATCGCAAGAGCATTCAGCGTAAAGTATGTCTAGTGGAACAGTTCCATCATATAAAATGTACAACTGGTAACGCAACTGGCTAACACGTGGCGCTCTGTCGATACTGCTTAGAGACGCGATACCAGGGATCATTAAGACGCGGCCGAACTGTAGTATTGTTACAAACATCGGCCGCCTGGCATTTTCGACCACAACCGTCAGTAGATTTTTTTTCAACTTACCTAATCCTTCCATCCGCACTATGACCTTGGGGTCGACTCAGCCTCTAACAAAAATGAGTACCAGGAATCTTCCTGGGGGGTAAAGGGCGGCCGGCGCGTAAGGCTGACAACCTTACCGCCATCTGTGAACCGGCTGTGTAGACAAAATGTGGGAGCATCGACGTCTCACAACCCTTCAGGGCTTCACGGCCTGTTACAGGGATAACTGAGAGGATGCATGGCAACATCTGTGCGCTAGCAGCACTGTTAGATCGATGTGGCATAGATTCTGTTTCGCTAAACACCCCTGTGTGAAGCAAACCGTCATTCGTGAAATCAAACAGCTGGGAACTGAAACAGACAATGGCGGAATTTTTAGTTATATGTGTTGATAGCACAGGTAGGTAGATCCAGGTGACCCGAAATCACAGAGAATAGCGCTTCCAACATCTCTTCTACGTGTATTGTCGCGTCACGTTGCTATCGCACGGACCTCGCGGCAACACCGCTTCCCGTAGGTCTCCTATTGTGTTACGTCACCGCGGACGTGACGTGTTCCTTTGTTGCGTGTGTACGGGCCCTTACCTAGCGACATTATTTTCTCATTCAATGACTGAAATGAAGTGTATCTAGGTTATTTCCAAATAATCTTCCATTGTCCATCATAAGCGCTCTAGATGTGATCCAGTGCAGGGGTTAGATCCATATGTTGCCTATGGACTCGAACCTTTTGGAATTCCGCCAAATGCTGGGGCGTAGGGAGATCAGCCTAAGTGAACCGTGTTGGTACATTTTGTATAAATACTCCTGTTAGCTGTGTAGCTGCCGACCACAATGGCCCCGTGGTCTAAAGCATGAATCATCTTCGCTCGCTCGAACGCTGGGATCGTGGGTTCGAATCCCACTCAAGGCATGGATGTCTGCGTGCGCTTATTATGTGTTTGTGTCATTCTGTGTGTAGGTTGCTGCCTTGCGATGGGCTGATCTCCCGTCCAAGGAGTCCTAGCAACTGTGTATAGGATTAAGAAATCTGAAAGGCGACCCAAGATCTAGCCTCCCGAAAATATGTAGGCGTCTTAGTGGGAATGGAGCAAGTACAGGATGTACCATTTAAACCCCAATCCAACTACAACAGTATATGCAAGCTTACGGATAACATCAGTATTCTTGTTTTATTCAGTACCTCCTTATTAGGGTACGCACAGCGAAATGCTTTGTGTACAGCAACAAACCATTTCAATGGGAAATATAATTCGAGGATGAACACAAGTTCTGTTCGTGAACACACCCTACTCGCACGTTCTGAGCGTCTGTGCAATTGGCCACAGCAGCAGCCTAGCAACCAGAGTGACACAGACTCGAGTATCACAAGAGAAGTTGGGAGAGGCCATTACACGGGAGGAAAAGCTACTGGTTTCATTTCTGTGGCGTGATTGTTGATCGATCTGACGCAGTGTATATACACAGAACCTCCTGTACCAAGCAGTACAGACAGAACCGCTACACCGCAGGAACTGCGTCTATACACTATATCAAAAACCTGAACATCCCAGCCATATATTTATTTTATTTATTCCATTGTGAAATTCCGTCGATCCAATCTAGGCTACAGATACGCCTGACGGATATAGAACCAGTCACAGACAATTAACTAAAATACACATGCTATGAAAATAAGCATAGGTCAGATCAAACAGTAAACCAAACTGTTTATCTTCCTATTTTAACATTAAACATAACATCTTAAATTTAATATTGTAAAAAATCATCGTACCAAAAGGTAGATGATGATGATAATATATATAGAACACGAGAAGGATATGTGGAACAAGGAATCCCGCCTTCGCGTGTTTAATAGGAAACTTTCTAAAAAGCAACACGACCTAGATATCTACAGAAAGATCTAAACCCGCAG